CCTTACATCTGCCTGAGGGCATGCGCCTTGTGTGGTATCAGTTGTCTGTGAGCCCCCTCAGGGGTGACTCTGCAAGGTTCAGTCCTGACAGGACAGGCTAGATGTCTTCTTCTTGCACTGGAAGGATTGTGTATCTAACAGTGGCAAAGAAGATGGCTCATCTGTAGAGCACCTTCCCCATCCCTGTCCAGGAGAAGCGTCCATTTGTAAGCCCATTCCACGCAGTATTTCCATATACCCACACTGTGTTCTGGAGAGCTTCTGGGTTTTCTGTGCTATGGAACACAGGTTGTCCTAAGGTAGTAGGTAAGTTTGTGGTGTGGAGGGGATGTAGTTGACAACAGTTGGTCTGTAGAGTTTCTTCCATAGACCTTCTTGTCCTCAGTTTACAGCAATTTGTTTTCTTTTCTAAATGGGGGTTGCTTTATCTTTGAGGTCATCTCTCTCCTCCTCTATTTTCCATTTCTTTTCTTCTCCAACCCTTTTATTTTAGTCTTATCTAGTATCTCAGAGAGGAATAAACCAGCCATGCAAACAGATCTCCTTTAACACTCTGTCTTTGCTTCCTTGCTTCTGCTTCAGTGTGAGTACAAATGAGGGAGAAGGTGGGAGTGGAAGATGGATTAAAACCGCCGTATTACTACTTGTAGCATAATTAGGTCTCAGCATTAAACCTCACTCTCTGTGGGTGTTCAGAGCCTTTGATGTGCACGAACACACTCCTAAGCAGGGAAATGCTTTGCTCTTTGTGTTGCACGAATACTTGCATCACATCTACAAATACTCAGCACCCACTCGGTGCCAGATTCTTAGCTCCCATCCTCAGTATCTGAACATGTGTGCTTTTCTAAAACTCCTTTATACTTGTCATCTATGAAGACATCTATAGAAAACACCTAGGCTGCTGCAGAGAGAGGCCCTGGGAGGAAAAGTGATGAGTCAAGGCCTCAGAGTTGGCATAGAGTTTGGCCATATGACCAGGGCTCTGCCCAGCAGCCTTTGGAGCTTGGAATTAATTCTTGACTACAGTGTTGGGTCTCTGAGTGCTTACCATGGACTGGTGTTGCGTAAAGTATTTTCCATTATTTAATAGTTGGAATGGCTCTGGAGAGCAAGTGCCATTGCCATTTTTATTATTGTCTCTGTAAACTGAGAGATAATCAGGCCGTAAAATAATCAAGAAAGCATTTATTTAAGAATTGGGACCATGATTCAGAGCCATAGCCTTCGGGGGCGGAATTCCAAGATGTGTCACTAGGGTCAGGGAACAGGGGAATTTTAAAGGGTCAAGCAGGGACATGGTCTACGTTTGGGTCATTTGTTTTCAAACTGTCAGATTAGTTCTTAAATTCATTTGTCTTTATTATTGGTTGACACAACAGAAAGCTGCCATGTGGGGTCTTTTGTAATAGTCAGCAGATGGTCTCCTGTTTCTTTCACAGTCATGGATAAGGAGAAAACAGTGAGTTGCTGAGTCAGGCTGCACTCAGTTCACTCAGTTAAGACACAAAATGGACTCTGTTGGATTCACAGTAGGTTCTCTTTTTCTAGATGGAGAAGCCAAGACTTGGCAAAGCCAAATTGCTTGCCCAAAGCCAGATGCTTAGTATATAGCAATGCTGACATGCCCTCTGGGTCTGTGTGAAGGCCAGGTCCTCATCCTCGTCTGTGTAGAAGATGCCGCCATGCAGCGCAGGGAGTTGCAGGAGGCAGCCGGTTCTGTCCTCACCCTAAATGTAGGTAGGGACTGGCATTCTTTACTTCTTAACTTTGTTTATTTCGTTGTGGCAATACACACACACACACATGCATACACACACACAACATAATATTCACCACTTTAGCCCTTTTTAAGTATACAATTCAGTGGCATTAAGTACCTTTACATTGTTGTACAGCCATTGCCGCCATCTGTTTCTAGAACTCATTTCATTTTCCCAATTAGTACTCTGTATTCATTAAACACTAACTCCCATCTCCTACCACCTCCCCACCCTTCCAAGCCCTGGCAACCACCCTTCTATTTTCTGTCTCTATGAATTTATCACTATAGATATTTGTCCTTTTGTGACCTACTTATTTCACCTAGCATAATATACTCAAGGTTCATCCACATTGCAGCTTGTGTCAGAATGTTTCCCTTTTAAGTTTACAATGTGCCCCATGATATGTAGATATCATATTTTGTTTAACATAGTCATCTGTCAATGGGCAGTTGGGTTGATTTCACCATATAATAATCTGCTAGTACTGTAGTAGGGCTGCCATAAAAAGATATCACAGACTGGGTGGTTTAAACAACAGACATTTATTTTCTCACAGTTCTGGAGACTCGAAGATCAAGATCATCAAGTTGCTAGCAGGTTTCTTTTTCTTTCTTTCTTTTTTTTTTTATTTATTGTTACTGAAGTGCCATTATTTTATATCCTTGCTAGTGGTTTTTTTTTTTTTTTAAAGATTTATTTATTTATTTATATAAGCACTGGGTACAGTCAGAAGTGTGGGAGGGTGAGAGAATTCACCAGAGCCAGAGCAGGGAGCAGAACAGGCAGATGGACGAAGTACACTGCTGAGGGGAGCAGCGGGCGGCAGGAGAGGTCTGTCACGCCATGTGGGACCCTCACCCAGTGGCCGGGGATCGAACCTGTGCTGCAGAGGCTGCGGGCAGCTTCAAAATCCAGCGCTCAACTGCTGCGCCACTGGGGAGGCCCTGCCAGCAGGTTTCTCCTGAGGCTTTGCAGATGGCAAAGCTTTCTTTCTGTGTCTGTGCATCCCTGGACTCTCCTTATAAGTATACCAGTCATATTGATTAGGTTCCCACCCTGAAGACTTAGCTTGCCTTAAGTCTTAATTGCCTCTTTAAAGGTCTTAACTCAAAGTATAGTCATGTTGGGGGTTAGGCCTTCAACAAAGTTTGAAGGAGACACACTCAATTCGTTCTGTAATGTACCTCTTGGCTTGTGAATAATGGTGTGACTGTGGGTGTACCAATATCTGTTATTGTACCTGCTTTTGGATCTTTTTGGATGTATACCCAAAAGTGGGATTGCTGTATCATTCTTTCAATTTTTAATTTTTATGAGGAATTGACATGCTCTTTTCTGTAGTAGTTGCACCATTTTATATCCTCATGACATTATTTCTTAATTTTCAGCATAGTTTCATTCTTTTGAGAGTCCACAATGAGTTCCAAGTTTTTCCCAGTCGAAAATTTGCCTGGAATTGATATTTTTGCCTCCCAGAGGCTTGATTACTAAAGCTTTCCAGAAACTTGGAGCCCTTGGTCATTGTGTGCCTCCCACCAGCAGCCTCAGGCTCTTCCTTCCACATTCAGTTGCTGGGAAAACATCCCAGAAAGGAGGAAGACACTGTGAAAACTGGCCTGGTCTTAGGTAGATGTTTTATCTGAGTTGTGGGCTCTCAGGCAGCAGCCCCTGAGGCCCCAGGAGGCTTGTGCCCACCCTGGCCCCATGTCTGACTATGCAGAGTAGGAAGGGGAGGGGAAAGAAGGAGGGGGCACATCTGAGCACACATCCTGAGCCCATCTAGGCACCGCCTCTTTCAAAATGCTCAAGGGACAACAGATATAAGGTGCTCCTCAGTGGGCAGCTTTGCAAACACTGCTGTGGATTCATGTTACTCACGTCAGCAGATGGATGAGAGTATGAGTGTGGGAGTGTTACGTGAGGAAAGGGGTGGGGGTGAGAGGTGATACTGGAGTAGGCATTCATGAGAATTAAGGTGTGAGGGTGAGTGTGGAGGTAGGGGGTGTGTGTAATGTGACGTATTTTTGTCAGTGTGTGTAATAGGGGATAAAAAGGATGACAGTGAGGGTTAGGAATGTGAATATATATGGAGTGGAGGTAGGGGGATTGGAGGGGTAGAGTGTGTGTGTGGAATTGGGCATGAAGGAGCAGAAATTGGGTGTGTGGGTGTGGAGGATAGGGGATGAAGATACAGGGTGTCAGGATTTGGGGTAAATAGGATATGTGGAAGGTAGAGAGTGAGTAGGAGTATGTGGGGGGGCAGGGAGGTCACTATGGGGAAAGGTCCAATGGCTCCACTCCAGGTAGCCACCTCTGCAGGACCCCAGTGGGTGGAGGAGCTCCCAGCCAGCGACTCAGGCATGACTCATTTTCACCTGGTCAGGGGAATGAATTTGCTGAGCAGCTGCATCATAGCAGGATATGTGCGTCAGTGTGTATGACTTTGTTCTTATTAGAAACCAGTGGAGAAATTTAAAGTGGCAAATGAAAGGGGTGAGGGGGAGGTTGTGCGGAGAGCTATGGATGATAAATGGCTTCTCTCTTGCTGGGCAGATCACACTAAATGACCAAGGTCATCTCCCTCATTCTTGTAGTGTGTTTGATAAAAGGTGGCTGTAGCCATCCTTTAGTAGTAACTGTAGAAGGTGCACACGCATGCACAGACACACACACCACAGCTATAGAAAAGGGAACCCCCAAGTGCCTCTCAGAAGCCAGGCAGCCTCTGCAGCAGTAACTCTTTGTGCACTGCGGTCTACTGCAGACTTTGCAGTAGCGGGATGCTGGCTTTTATGAATGGTAGCCTGGGAGGGGCCTAATGTCATCAGCTCCTGATGTCAGCACAATGAATGAAACACTTGCAAGCGTAAAGCCTCAAGCACCCGGGAAGCAGATACCTTCTCAGATTGGTTCTCTGAGTGCAGCGTCTCTTGCTGACGAAATCACCAGTCCCATGTGTCACAGATAATCCATATACGTTAGGATTTAAATTGAGGCTGCATGTGGAATAATGCGTATCTGATCCTGGCACAACCAGCTCTGCCTGAAGCAGCTGTGGCTGAGACCCTCTTCCTGACAGGCACTGGAGGAAGGTGTTTACAAGAGCTGCAGACCCACCGTTGTGTGTTAGGCACCTACTTAGCTGGCCTGATGTTCTGCTTTTGCTGGCAGAATTCCTTGCTGAAGCTTCAAGCCCTTGAAACTGATCTGTGCTCTGCATTTCTGACAAACCAGGAAGAAGCTGCTCAGGTGCATGGAGTCAAGGACCCAGCCCCAGTGTCAACCCAGAGTGTGCCTGCTGAAGGGGCAGATGCTGCAGGTAAGAGGTTGGGCTGGGGAAGGTCCTCATTTATACTCTTCAGATAGCTCGATCTTTTGCTGCTTCATCCTGGACCTGGCAAGGGAAAGTCTCTGGTGCAGCAAGACAGCTAAAGAGGTACTGGAGTTATACTGGGGTCGTTGTAAGGGAGCAGGAGGAATTAAGATGTGTTATAACATAGAGCCTTATCTCTAGCTGGAGCTTGAGAGTAACACTTATATAAGTGGGTGTCAGGTGAAAAGCATAACTCCTAAATGTTCATTTTTCTAGTTGGTCTCTTATGAACACTGAGTAGTGTGCTTTTTTTTTTGTTATCACTGAATCTGGATAATCTGTTATCCTGAAACTTAACATTTTTGACATATTTAGGGGTGGGGAATTTTTTACATTGCTATTCCTCTCTTCTATTAACTGCTTATTAGATGATCCATTAGCACAGGGAAAGTGGAGGTGAGTGGTGTAGCTCATTCTGATCTTATTTTATCGTATTCTGTGTCACTCTTTTAGCATTAATTTCCATGTATAAAACTCAAAATTGGGTCTCATTAGTCTGTTAGTTTCTCTCATTTTAATCCTGGGGTTGGTAGGTTGTCTAGCAAGCAGAAGGCAAACTAATGCTTCCAGGAAGACTTAGCCAGGAGAGAGACACCAATTTGCATGAGTAGAAATGAAAGCCAGTTTATCTTTTCTAACACCAATGAATCAGAGGTTTGCAGACTGGTTTCTGAATAGGTGGTAGAAATGGGCTTAGGTGAGTTTACTTCATGAAATGTTCTTTGTATCGAGGGATCTTGGAGAGATTTACAAAAGTATTTTTCAGTACTATTAGCAATAGTACAGAATATATTGCTGTTTAAAACAGACCCAAATGTTTTAAGCAGACTAATCAGTCGTGGCCAGTGTTTGACTATATATCAATAGTAGTGGCTATTGTTACTGATAGTAGTAGTTACTACTGAAGATTTTCTATGATCTAGGCACTATTATAAGCACTTTATGTATATTCTTTTAATTCCTTAAACTGTGAAATACTACTCATAGTAAGGATGCTGAACTAGTGTGTCCCAGCTGGTAAGTGGTAAATTATTTCCCTATGGATGTAGATGGACAATTGGCTATCCTTTTTGCCTGGTGCACTGTCTGCTCTGTTGGCCATTGTTTTTGGATGATATGCAAGGAAAATTGGACAGAAGCCAATGTCAAGCCAACTAGGAGTTTAAGTCATAACTGGACAATGCTCTTGTTCTTCTACCAACCCCATATCCCACCCCCTGCAAACAGACAACATACAAAATACATAAGGAAGTCTTAAGTCAAATAAAAGCAAACTTTGAAGTTATTTGATTTTTTATATAGTTACTCAAGTATCTAGTAGAATGCTGAAAAAAGTATTTGTTGCATTTTGGGTATGGACATATATACCTGTATTTTTTTATCTTGACTCTGTGTGTGTGTGTGTGTGTGACTTTTTCCAAAGGTCAAGAATAGTTTTGCAATCTATCATTCTTCATCAAGGAAGTCTATGGGAAAGAGAGGGCTCTCTCTCTCTCTCTCTCTCTGTTTATCTGTGTGTGTATGTGTGTGTTTGTGTAACAGTTCTTGCAAGTTTTCATTATCCTTTGTAGAACTTATGAATAAGGAGTCTTATTTGGCTAACATGACTGCTTTGGATGTGATATATAGGCCCAGTACCCTGTATAGGACCTGTATTGTTTTGACTGACACATGTGTCTCTCTAGTTTCCCAATAAAACCCTTCGACACAATCTTGGAACCACCCATTGTTTTCAGTGAGGAATGTCTTCATTTAGCAGGGATATTGCCAAGGTGACAGGCATTTCAAAGAGGCTTTTGCAATTTAAGTTTTAAGATAGTTTGGTCTTCTTGGTTCCCCAGACACACTCTTACAAGAAGCCTGTGCATTTCAAAATAGTATGTCCTTTGAAGAAAGGTATATTTGCTCATATTAGATTAGCAGTTCTTAAGACCTGTGAATGGATTTCTAGAATGATCGTTGAACATCTTGAAACTGTAGTTTTTATGGGTGTATGAATTCCTGATGAGAATGTGACTATACATGGTTAGCCATAATTCTACAAAGGATTGTATATTTAAAAAGGTTTCTCTCCCTTAAAGCCTAGGATCTACCTGTGAGTCTTACATGTATCATGTAGTCAATTGCTAATTGCCAATGTTATTAATTAATATTAAAAGGACAAAAGCCAACAAAAGTTGATTTTTACAGGAATATCTATATGCAATATGCTACTGACTAACCAGTAAAAACAAACAAACAAATATACATTTATATCACTTGAAGTTTTAAATTTACATTAGGCTTGATTAGGATATGAATTAGATTAAAGTTACTTAACTTTTGCAAATGATTGTCTAGAAAGTGCCCCTGAGTATTTCTATGCATTGTAATTATCTGGAAGCTTTTTAGACAAGATCTCTCATACCTCATCTCTAGAGTTTCTGGGGCAGCAGTTCTGGAATCTGTATATTTCATAAAATTCCTGAGTACTGGGAATTTCAATTTAAGTGGAAAATTTCTCAGATTAGGAAAGAAAAGGTCAGGATCTTTTTTATTTTACTTCACCTCAGTTGTCATTTAGAAGAAGCTCATAGACTTTAAGGACTTAGAACTCAGGGTCTGTGGTCAGTTGGATTATTCCATTTACTTAGGAGGAGAAAGGTGCTCAAGAACCCAAGTCCACTGGGGGTGGGAGAGATGGGGACATGGACAAGGGGCAGAGACAAGGACAGATTTGTGGGATATAGAAGCCCTTAGGGAAAAGTGACAGAGAGAGAACCAGCTGCTAGGCCACCTCAGGACTGTACACAGGGTAACCAATTCCCCTGGTTTGCCCAGGACTATCCCAGGTTAGCCCTAAAAGTGTAACATTCTGGAAAGCTCTCAGTCCTAGGCAACCCAGGGCAGCTGACCAGGTTACCTGTAGGTTGCAACTGCATAAAGTAAAATGGAAACCACAGAGTACTTAGGCTCAGAATCCTTCTACATTAATCAGCAGCCTCTTACTGATGAAACAAATGATTCCTTCATGGGAATAGTATTTATTCTGGTGTGGAATGGAAAAAAGGAACGATGATTATCTTTTCTACTGCTTGTCATTCTCAAAGGTTACAGAAGGACCATTTGACAGTCCACATGAACAGGCAGAGTAGCCCTTGTTCTGTCTGAACAGAGATAGATGGCATGGAGTTTTAGCATAAGCTGTCACTGGGGATACATGAAGACTTATTACTAGAAATAATAGTTCCACAGCAGTACCTAATTAATTCTTTTATTCTAAAATCTTGATTTTCAAATTGAACTTTCCATTTGGGTAAAAGCCTTGTTACTAGTGTTGATTATTACAGTACCCTAACATAATATACATATTTACAATCTGTAATTATCCTATTAAAGAATTCTGCATAGTCCGTAGTAGGTCTCTTTCAAATGTAGAATTTGAGGCAGGTGGGGCTGAGTCAAAGAGAACTTGACCTTTTCTCTCATTTACAGACACTGTCCACTTGACCAGAAGTCACCATTTACTTAGGAGTGCTTATTAAACTTACAGATGTCTTGGATCCCCACCCTACAATGGAAAAATAAATTGTAGAGATAAGAATTTCCGTGAATATCAGAATATCAGAATATCAGGATGATATTCAGGGAGGTTCAGGAATATTTTCTGGAACACTGTGGCCCTCTAGGAGTGCCATAAAATGTGTTCTTGCTGCAGGTGCAGTTTATAATTGGATTTCAGGGACGGGAACATCTCAGGTATCCTCTTGGTGGGTTTGATTCTCCCAATAACTTGATGTTTCATCCAACTTGATGGCAGTAGTCCCAGACAGTTTGGAAGTCAGAAAATGCAGTCTCCATTACTTCTACCTCAGCAGTGCAAAGAATTCCAGATGTCTTCTGGAAACATTATTCATTATGGGTCTGTGTCTCTGTCTATTTGTATGATTTCTAAATCCTTGAACTTTAATATTTTCAGTATGAATGATCTGTTGCTTTGACTAATGGCTACCACTGTGGAAAGTAGTACTTTAGCTATTTTTCCTTCATTGGTTCCTTTAAAGCAGTGGTTTTTTTGCACCCTTTGGCACAGTTTTGGTGTCATAGTTATAGGGTGAGTCCTATTGGCATCTGGTAGGAGCCAGGGATGCTGCAGAACATTCGGCAATGCAGGAAACCCTTCCACTATATGGCTCCACCAAAGAATTACCTGGTCCAAAATGTCATAGTACTGAGATTTGGAAAGATTTTAAGGACATTTTTTTAAAAGAATAACATTAACTAACAATGACCTTTTCATTTGTACTAGGCATTGTGACATGGATTTTCTTACCTTCATAAGAACTTCATGATTATAATAATAAGCTTGTTATCCCCAGATTAGGATGAGGAAATAAGTTTGGAGAGTCACGTAACTTGCGAAAGGACGGGCTGCTACTGAATGGTGGGGGTTGGGAGGAAAAGGGAGGAGTGGTGCATTTTCCTCAGTAGGACTCCATAAACTACGTGCTTCAACACTATGCTACTTGCCATCAAGCCTACATAGTATATCTCCATTGCTTTACTATTCTGGAATTTAAAATTAAATTCATAGCCATCCTATATACACTGGACATTATGTATATTATACATAGAGTGAAAATGATTTTCTTATCCACTCCTGACTTTTTCACATTAAAGAGATCTAGATTTAGAATTGATTAACTTATGACAGCCTTTTTGTCCTACAATCACTTCAACTCCTCTGGTCTAAATTATTTCTAGGCCCCTGTACCTTTCTTGACATGAATTTACCTGACCTACATGATAGAATCAAACAGAATTTTTTTTTAACTATAAGCACAGGTATTACAGTTTTATAATGTGTTACCAATGGGAAACTTGGACAAATGTACAAGGGATCTTTCTTTATTTTTTTAAAGATTCAATTTATTTATGCATACAAGAGCTGGGATACAGGCCAGAGG